TTGAGGGGGAAGGGAAGTAGAAGAGGGGAATGCTGGAGGGGTGAAAGGAAAGTTGGAGGGGGAGAAGAGAGGGTGTATGGGGGAATGAAGTGTTATGTTGGGTGTTTTTTTTTTCTCTTTTTTTTTTATGCACAGTATATAAGTGATTGTATAAAATGAAAATGAAAATGAAATAAATAAAATGTATTTTGAGATTTCCTTAAAAAAAAAAAAAAACAACAGTCATAAGTATGAAATGATTGCCAAGCATCTGAATTTTGATCTCTTGATCATAAGGATGCTACAAAGATTGTAAGTGTGAAAAGTAGTTATAAGTCACTTTTTTTAGAGCTGCGATACTTTTGAACAGCCACTAAAACTGTTGTAAATTGAGGACTAATTGTACCAAATCTCATTAACTGACATGATTTTTGCAGGGGATCAGGGCTTATAGAGCAATGAGACTAATTATACACCACATCACTACTGATATGTTGCACTGTGATTTTCCAGACCAGTCAACCATTCTAGTATCATTCCAATATTAAACAGATCTGCATGTTTCTACTTCTCACTTGAGCCAAAATTAAAGAGGCGCTGCCTCCTGCTGAAAGATATAAACAGCCCATAGAGTTTTAAACATCAAAACACTCAATGGAAATAGACTTATGTTAGCTGTGGAGATACAATTTATGTTTAAGATAAGTTCCATCTTTTTAAAGATGTTGTTTTAAAAAAGTAACTATTATGTCATCATGCAAGACCTAATGAATAAGAATAAGAGTACTTCTAACTATTATTGTGCTGACAGATTGCATTGGAAGCAGTTAAGGGAAAACTGGGAAGAATGAACACAACAGCGAGATGGTATGGGAGAAAAAATGATTGTGTTATGTAACTATATGTTGTTGATAACCTTGAGTTACACCCTTGCTTGCTTGTTAGAGCCTTTTCCCTGGTCCTTTTTACTATTGCTCTGATATTGGTTCCATGTGGAAATATGAGGTTCTGAGGTGTAAGTTACTTTTTGATTTCACATGATGTTAGAAAGAAGCCATATAAAATTAAATCATGTATCACACCCATCTGCACAAAACTATCATGATTTTGGCTTTTTTGATGCTGCTAAAATTGGTTTGTTTATGATTGTAATGATTTATTTCTTCCAGATAGATATGTTCTGTGATTTAATGTTGGTTCCATTTGGGATCTAAGGAAAAATAATCTGACTCCATAAATTCTGTAGATCCAAATTTTTGAGCAATACCCAAAAATAGTCCAATTAGTAATTGTGGTTGTTTCATTGAATGCAGATAGGCATGAGAGTGATTTTATATGCAACCTATGTAAAATTTGTGTAGACTCTTGTTTTAGATTTCAATCTGGGTCAATCATTGGGACCAGAGGTTTAGTCTTCCAAGCTTTCGGAGTTGTGCTGGAGCCCATCTTCAGGGATGTTCTCGCTAATGGAACGTTAGATTGGAAGCTTGGAAGACTAAACTTTTCGTCCTAGTGACTGACCCAGATTGGATCCTGCAACATTATCCTGGGATGTGTAGAATTGTGCTCTCGCTTTAGATCACAATTTTATACCATGATGAAAATCTGTAGAAATAGGTGGTTGGTGAATTAATTATTTTCTCATAATTATGGATCCTAAGTTATGTAAAAATTGAATTTTAGCCTGATCTTGCAACTGGTTCTAGACAGAAGAAAAGTAGTTACAGCCCAAAGAATTTACTTCATAAAATGCTTGAAGAAGGAAAAATATGGATTTGGATAGCTAGTTGGTTTCAACGTCCTATCCATCATTGAATCAGCGCATTCAGAATATGATGTTTGATGAGGGTTTTGTCAAAGGCACTTAGATTCCTATAGATATATTTTTATAGGCAAAGAAAATTAATTTTCTTCAAGGGAATCTGTGTTCACAAATTAATTTATATGCAACTAGATCTTCTGTCAGAAGAAATATGACTGGAAATGCCAACAAAGGGTTTATCTTTCAGATTATTCATTATTAATAAAGTGAGTAATTGTAAACGTTTGTTATGAAAATAGTTTCTACAGTGATAATGCTAGCATTTAGTTTCTGAAAGATACAAATTAGTCAGTTTATTCTTATTCTTGTCATTAAAAAGTATTTTGGCATGACTGTTCTTGCTGCTTTTACTTGATCATAATGCAATTATGAGTTT